GCGCTCTCATAAGTTTGATGGTGTCAGGCCACACTCACTGACGTAAACGTACGTTAACGTGTCAGCTGGCACGATCAAACTTATGAGAGCGCCATGTAAATGAAAACTCACCACCGTGTACGTGCGACGGTTACGCGTGCTTTTCTCTCTCTCTATCAACAGTAAATTTTATATGTTTATAGGTCAAGCACGGCAAGACACGGCATACGTACACGTCGGTGAGTGTGGGCACCATAATTTATTTATATAAACGCAATTTTATGAACATGTTCTGTAATGATCTCAACAGCAGCAAACCTTTCATTAACAGCCCTATTAACAGTTTCAATCTGCTACTTCCTACCAAAAATTATTTTTATGCAGTGCATCAAAATATTCGTAGTCTGCGGCAAAACCTTGACTCTTTACTTTGTAATATAGAAATATTTCCAGTTCCTCCAGAACTCATGTTCGTGTCGGAAATTTGGATTTACTCTTATGAGATGCAATTTTATACAGTACTACACCATGGTGAAATGAACTGAAGGTGGCGCATTCCCGAAACCGCTACTTTGGTTTTGTTGACTTTGACATTTATGGCAATACGTAAACAAACTTTTTGTTTACAAACAAGTGCAAACGTATTGCATACTTTCAAGTGAAAAATCGAAGTAATTCGTGCGTTCTGAAGTAAAAAACGTTTTATTTGTAATAAAAACTTTATAAAAATGTCATGTCGTGTGTTGAATTGCAGCAGCCGTAGGGGTAAAGCCTCCAAATGCGGTTTTTTTGTTTCCCCGCGACGACGCCTTGGCCAGAAAGTGGGTAGAGTTCTGCCGGCAGGATAAGCCATACAATTTAGACACCAGCGTAATATGCATGAAGCACTTTACGGACCACTTTTAAACACGACATGTTAAGTTGAAAACGTTGAAATACCACAAATTACAAATTAAAATCGGAGGTAAGCAAGCATCGACCACTTTCTGCAGGAAAACATGCGCTGCGACAAGATATTATCACTTTTTCGGCACCTGCAATACAAACACAAAAATTCTAAATAGTTAATTAATAAGACCTATTCTTTTGAACACATTTCAAGAGTGGTTGTATATTTTTTGTTAACGTTGTGCTTAATTTGCTATATTCAAAGATGGCTTGAGAAATTGGTGAATCGAGAAAAAACACGTTTTCTCACAGCAAATTCACAACTGTCAACTCATTGTTCTTCGCCATATTCTTTGTTTACCCGTTGCCACAAATGTCATTCTGCGGGAATGCGCAATCTTGTATTCTATCGTTCTTGGTACTACACTACACTTTTTTTGCCAATAGTAATGATGCTTTTTTCAGGTGCTGTAGGAGTTTTTGTGCGTAACATATTTGATTGCGAAATATTTAGGTATAATTTGTTGAGTGCGGATGTGTTAAAAGTTTTACTAAAAATTAATACCAAGGAAATAAGTTTAATATGTGTCTACAGACGTCACTCAGAATCTGATAAGTTCTTTCTAGAGGAATTCTCAAGCTTTTTATACAAAGAGAAAGCGAGTAATGTGGTTATTTTAAGTGACTTAAACTTGGATATTTTACAATCGAACGCAGTGTGGGAAAATTGCCTGACTTTGATGGCCAGTCAAGGGGTTTCTTCATGCCTAAATGAATGAACTAGGAATTCTTCTGAAACTGGCCTGAACCATGTTTTTTGCCGATTCAATGGTATCTCTTCTTATACTAGCTTCAATCTGGATCTTCAAATCCCTGATCACACTATGACTGGCATTACACTTGATAATTTCTGTTACGTCATGAAGATCGAGAAAACTAAATCTCAAATAACTAAAATAAACTATGCTTTAATAAATGAAAAGCTACTTTTTGAGGATTGGGAAAAAGTTCTCTCTGAGAAGGATATTTCAAAAGCATACTCCCTATTCATTTACACACTGCTCTCTCACATACGGTGTGCTAGCTACACCTTTGTCCTGCGCAAATTCAAAAATATACTCAAACCGTGGATTAGGTCTGACTTCATTAAAAAAATCAAACTGAAAAACAAATTTGTTAGTAAGTTCCGCAAGCACCCATCTAACCAGAAACTCCGTTCTCGTTATAAGAACCTATGCAAAAAATTAAATAAAGATATCCTGTGCCAGAAAGATTTTTATTTTTTAAATAAGTTTCAAGATTCTCGAGACAATTCGAATAAGGAATGGCATATCATCAACACTATTGTTAACAAGAACTGTAAAACTGACGATTAGACAATATCTTTGAACGATTGTGGTAATCCAATCCTTCTGCTGTTGCTGGTATGTTCAATGATTTTTTTGTATCAGTCAGGCTATGCAATTTTTCACCTGTAAGTGTGTCATGCCGGATAACAATATATTTCATTCTAAAAACAGCTTTTTATTTGAATCTTTCTCAGTCTCGGAGATTTTGTCTATAATCAAAAACCTCAACAACTCTAGTTCTTGTGGGCATAGT